CCAAATATCATCAGCTCGATGCATCAAATATCTATCGAACAAAGCTGAGAACAGAAATTTATGCGACATATAATCATTTTTATCACGTCAAAATATAATCGCATGATATTATATACATTTCTTCTACTTACAGAAAAGATTTATTAACTTTAGATTCCTCCTAATCTTATTTAAGATAAAAATTTTATTAAGATTTTATTAAAAAAATTTTATTAAGAATTTTATTAAGAAAGAAACAAACTTTCTTTACACAATTCCATTTGATTTTTAATCTTTATTGCATTGATTTATTTATTCCATTTGATTTTTATATCTTATCGTAGGAGAAAACGACGAAAATGAACGCCCAAACTATTTCAATGACGTTAAGTCCGGTTCTACAAATGAGCCACAGATTGTTATTGGCGCTGTTATTCCACTGTAAGGCTTTATTCCCAAATGTACAATTGATAAAGTACGTGCCACCATTGTCATCTGGTAGCACCAACCTGCCCGATTCTGTGGAAGGTATAGCCGCGGAATTATCTAAACAAGAATCGTTACTATCGCAAATTCACATGCAAATGAACGCTGGTTTTGTAACAAAGTCTCGCGAGGAACAACTGTGGGAAGTGCAACGAATGATAACGCAATTAAAGGTAAACAATTGTATTAAAAAAAATTATAAATTCATATAAAGAAAGGATTAACGTGAAATGTACATTTAAATTTTTTATAGAGAAAGTACAAGACTGTTCAAAAATTGGAAGGCGCTACGCAAAAGAGTCTAGACGAAGAAAGTAAATCGACCGATAATGTTCCAATAGAATCTATCTCGCAGAAGTCAAAATCCGCGGATGAAGATCACGGGCAAGTAAAACTCGACAGTCAACCGTCGAACAATGCGAAAAAAGACGGTAAACTGCTTAACGTGGAAGAGGGAAAAGAGAAATCTTGTTCAGCCAGCAGTTCGCATACTGTGCAAAATGGACAGAGCGTAAATGTACAAGATAAGGACGCGGTTGATTCTGTAGACATTGCAACGGTTGGACCTCAATCGAAGGAATCTGAAGATGTAACACCGAATGACAAAGCAAACGGTAATACACATATACGATCAAGATAATTTTCAATACCTTTAATCAGTATAACGTCAATTTTATGTACAGAACCTGAAGAGGAGGATGTTATAGATCAGTTGCGAGAGAGACTGATCCATGAGGAACTGTTGAATATGCAAGCGTTATTAAAGTCTCGCATTAGCCAGGAAAGGAGTGAGATCAAACGATTAATGGAAATGTTAACGGAACGCGGTATGGAGAAGAAGAAACCAAACAAAGAAAGGATACACTCTCCCAATGAAGCTGAAATGACGGCTATGATACAGCTAGTTAAAGAAAATCAGTTACTCGAAGTATGTGTCTTTTAAACGCTGATGGGAGGGGAAGAAAAGAGGAATTTCTCGCTTCATTTCTAAACTTACACGGAGTTTCTCTCGATTTTCAGAAAAAGATGACGACATTGATACGTAGTATAATCGAGGAGAAAGACGCTTGTGTGGAACTGCGGGTTCAATTAGCGGTACATCAACTAGTGGCCAAAACCTGACCACGGATCTGCTTGTGACGCTTCGGGATTACAATACAGAGCATCTATACGCTATAAAGATACAATCTGACATTACGTTTTTGCACATAATGTGACCATATATATAGTTTATAACATGTTACAATTATGCCATATATGTACCATTAACTCGTTCTATTCTTCCGTGAGGTAATAAAACTGTACAAAATGTAGCCAGAAATTTTTGTAATGTCTTTTTTTATATCTCGAATTCTTTTTTAAATGTGTATGTGTGTTGGAAAAAAGGGAGGGAAAAGAACATTTTTTAAGTGTTCAAAAATATAAGGTAAATCTAGAATTGCAATTAAGTCGTTATATTGCAATAATTCTATTTTTATACATTATTGAAGTTGTATTATTATATATTAATTGGATTAATGAAATTTCAGAATCTGAAAATCAAGCATACACTTGAAGTTAACAGTAATCCTGTGTAAAAAATGTCAACCTGGACAAGAAAACAAAATAATCCTTATAAATAAATATTCAGGCGAAAGTACAATTGGAACAAATGAGAAGAAAAGTGTTCAAGATTAAGACTAAAGAAAATAAGCAGACGAAATAAAAAAAAAATATTCATGAAACTAACAAATCTTGGTATTGTATATACTTTTCTTTGTATAATTTCTTATTTGTAAATTATATAATATTTCACAATATTCTTCATGCATATTGTAACACATTATAGATTTTTTTTCAGGATTATAAATAGAAGGCAATTCGGAGGAGATTGAGGGAACAATTGCATTGTATTCAATGTATATTTACAATATCATCTGGTCAAGGTACAGCGTTGAATATCGACCCGTATAGGTTTGCGTATTAATCTTGGTAATGTTGCTTTGTTGGAAAAATTGATATATATAATCCGATTTATATAATCTGTCTTGCGTAGGTAGATAGATTTTACGTGCTGTATCTGTATAAAAATCTATTGATGAGAATGTCCGTCGCAGGAGCAACGCATGTGGAAACTGAAATTGCTGAGAGAACAGATTGATATGGATTCTCTCGTTTATTAGCAGAAACGATAATAAATCATCGTACGAATGAGAATAAGCTCTTCACGGGCTCTACAGTTTCGCAACACAACGCAACGCTTGGATATATTCTCTCTTAGTATTGTCAAATAAGTTGTGCAACTCTCGGAGAAGCGGTGGTCAAAATGGTTTCTTTCTTTATTTTTTTATTAAACTGTATATCGGAGTTATTATCTCGGTTCAAGATTGTAGAATTCGACTATTGCGTTTTGTGGGAAATTGCAATTTTACACAGGTACATGTTATATATTCAATGCGATACTTTCCCTTCTCTCTTCGTTCGCCGAATAAAGATCGAGCAATGGATGATACAATAACGTACTCTCTTACAGCGTCACTATCACAGTGTGTTTACAACAACTCGCTAAGAATAATAGCATACCTACGGTAGCGCGGTGAGAGTAGTTTAACTACCGAAATCATGAAACTGTGCAAATACCAGTTTCGCCTATAACAATTCGCAATTATAGAAAATATTTATGTAACTTTATTACATAATCATTACGAGGAGAGACAGTCGACGATCAGATTTTTGCGTCTTATTAATTATAGAGCACCGGATGTGATGAGAGACACGATTCTACAGAAGTATTTAAGCGTTCAATTGTACTTTTATTTAAAAAAAATATATCAAATTATAGTATGAATACCAAATTCGAGGAGCATTTCTTACTGTGATCAATAGTCTGTTTGCGGTGGGTAAAAGCTCTCTTTTTCAAAGGCTATAAAAATAACTTACAAAATGTTATAAAAAAGATGGAATATATATATGTATATATGTATAAAAAAATAATGGAATGTTTCCTATCTCTCCTATAAATGGCTAATAAATTTTGCAACGATATTTACAACAAAAGAGGAGATGATTAAAGACGTTTCAATATAGAGGGATCTTATTATCTTATTCTGTATATATATTTCGCAATCATTTGATTTCTCTCGAATTCTCATTCAAGTTATGTTTTATAAAATATATCAAATATTTCATATTTATCTCTATATTTATATCGAGACGAGAAAATTTGAACATTTGACAGTTATTACTCAATAAATATCAATAAATGTAGAAGTTTGTGATGGATCGATAATGAGAAAATGCTATTTAGATATGAAATGCGATAATTTGCTTCATAATATATAATCAATTTTAAAGTTGATATAATAAAATCAACAAATGTTACTTAACATAATTTAACCTTATGTAATTTAGCCTACCTATTTCACATTTCTTTCATTTATCTCGCTTCTCAATGAAATATGTAATGCCAATATGCGATAACTTAATAATATAATAATAATTATATTCTTAAGTGTGAGTCCTCGTATAATAAATTTAATGATATCCTCATGTGTACATTGTTCATATTATTCGTAACTCACTGAATAATAATAGTTTTGCATCAGTTTTTTTACTTGAATCAATTTTAAGTAATGAATATATCGCGATTTGTCTCTCTGCTTTTATTTCTCTCTTTTTCTTCTACGATGCTATGCCAATACAAGAATCTGTAATGTTATAAACATCTCTTTTAAACTGCACATATGTGCTTTTAAAAATGGGTGTAAGTATTAAAATTAAATGAAAGATGTCATTATAAATAAAAAAAAGAAATTGTTGGCTTCCTATTCTAAAGTGTACATATTCAAAAATTTCGATATCGAATATTCAAATCGAAAATTTTGATAGAATAAAAATGTCACTTGACAAAATTTAACACATAAATAATGTTAAACTTGTCTAAAAATTATCAAGTTAAATTTCGTATGTTCTTATTTTTCCCGAAAATATAAGATTTGGAAATTTACATAAAAAATATCGAATAAGAATTTCCATGATAAGACATTATATTATTTGAAGAAAAACATTTCGAAAAATTCAAAAGAAATAAAGATCGTAATAACTTGAAAATCGTCCACGTTGTACCTTTTTCATTTTAGATGCAAAAGGCATAAATTAATCACGATACATAAAAAATATATAAAATGATTTGCAGAAATAAAAAATTAATATAACAAGTAAATTTGCAATATAAAAATATTATGTCGATACATAAAATTAAAACAAAAACATTTCTATGATTATAATCTTTAATCCATAAGAGTGTAAAAAAATCGAACAAAAAATGTGAAGATAATTTGCTTCAAAAGATTGAAATAATAATAAAAATTTATACGATTATAAATGTCGTGTAATAATTATCGATTTTTGGTATTATAATATGTACTCGTAAAAATCTTTGAATGTTTTTCAAAATAGCTGAAAAAGCTCGAGTATAAAGTTAAAAAAAAAATTTAGTTTTATTCGGGACAAATACATTAAAATTATTAATATGTAAAATAATAAACACTGTGTATATGAGAAAGGAAATAATATAATGTAAATTTTATTGTTATCACACGAACCAATATGCGATGTTTACAACTAATTAAGCAGCTAAAAAGATTAAATTAAGAAGAATAGGAAGCCAAGCAATAATGCTCATGTATACAAAACGGTAGTATTTATTATCTTTATACTCATCTAAAGCAATAATCTTAATTTCACCATTAATTTAGATTTTCACTCGCACACACATTCAAGCATTTGGCAGGCAAGAACCTAGAAGAATCTAACTTAGAGAGAGAGAGAGAGAAAGAGAGCAGTATTACTACGATGTCATCATATCACTGACTGAATTTGATATATTAGGTCCTTTTAGGGCGTCATTTATGTCTCTTCTAAACATTGATAAATTTTGTGTAAACCTATAACAGAATACAAAAAAGCATTATAAAAATACGCTCAAGATATATATTATATATACGTTTTTTCTTACCTATCCCTATTTTTTGTGAGTAAATTTCTTTCAATGCCATTCATTAAATTTTCAAACCACTGCGCCATTGCTGCTTGTTTGTCAACAGGCTGACTTCTAATAATATTTTCCCTTAATTGATTAAAATACTGCAAATATAAATATACAGGAGTATATTAATAAAGATTAGAGTATATTAATAAAAATTATAGGAAAACACACACAAGCATAAAAATGTTAAGAAATAAGATATGCAGAAATTACTGTATTATAATGAACTATTATTGCAAATACACATACTTACTTCTTCATTTAACAATATGAGACCTAACAAAGGGCGAGACATGCTCCATTGATTCCTACAATCCTCAAACATTATCACATTTAAAACAGTACTTAGGATTTGTTGAAGTATTTCAGGATGCTGTTTCAAAACTTGCAAAAATAATTCTCCTCCTCCTGGAACAACTGCGTTTTTCCTTCCTGGATATCCTGAAAACGCATATAATACAATAATATCGGTGCAATATATCCCCTACAATTTCTTGTGATACAGTTTACATTGAAAAGATTTTTATTAACAGTATCTATTGAATGTACCTTTCTGATAAAGCTGTTTGAACAAATATGTGACAATATGATCAAGAGTTGCACAGCAACCAGTACAGACCATGGTATCTGAAATCAGAAAATTTTGTTTTTTTTCCCCAACTTACCGCCAGAAGAAGGCGATATGTATATATAAAATTAAAATCACAGTGCAATAAAAAATATATTCAACCAAAACAGCAGCATTTCTGTTGCACGTTAACCAAGACCTACCTTTTTTTTACGATAATATTTCGCAAAATTTACAATTTAATGGCGCTATTTTATTGTATAATAAAAAAAATAAATAATTTCGATAAAAAAATTATTATATATAAATTAAAATTGTAAAAAGATACAAAATTTTTCAAATTTTATTCCTTAATAAAACGCATGCTGTGATTAATTAGTTAATAATTACAAAGCACATAATATTTTTAATTTATAGTGTTAATGTTAGTCATGTGTCAGCTGTGCGGCTGATTATCTGTGCTAGATCCATTATTTCACACAATTTTATCTCAATTTAAACGAAAGAAAATTGCATAAACACATATATCTGTTGTAGAAAATACAAGCTATATAGTTTTTCGTGCCAAATTTTATCATATTTAGGATCCAGGCTCCACGCACTCCAATCCTCTTACAGCCAGTGTTATTTATTTAGAGATATTCTTAATGATTTCCTTCATTGTGTATAATACAGTATTCTATATATGCGTCTGTTCCTCGTACTTTGAACTGTCGCAATAGCTAATATCTATAGGCAGATTTACATTCCAAGCAAAAATGCAAAAAGCAAGAAATATTAAAATCAATGTAATAGTTTCAAAATACATATAGAAAAGATAATTGTCAAAGTTCTAAATTATTATGTTTACATATAAGTGAAATATATGTGACTTAGTGAATATGCGTTTAATGAATAATTCTAAACAATTCTAAAAAAGCTATTATAAAAATTCACAAGTTTTTTTAATTTTGTATAATATATATAATTTAATCCTAATGTAAAGATATATTTTATTAATGCTTCTCGAGTTTTCAAAATATATTATCAACACGCGACGCAACTGATTGCGAGTCATATTAAATGTTTATCATTACATTAATCTTTCTCTTTCTTGAAAATCTATATAGAAAAAATTAATTTGAAAGCACTAATCAATCAGAGACAATAAAAAAGAATTTTCTTTGAGACTCTTCCAACTCATTAGAATTTATCTAAATGATTTAAAACGCTTTCAGTATCAAGGCATTGAGGATAGTAGTAGCAGGATAGAATCAGCCGCACAGACCTGTATAGGAGTCTTTTTGCGCACCTAGTGCTGTAAGGCCTTCGCTGATACTGGAGAGGATGTAGAGAAAAACTCTAGGTTCCAAAGTGGATAAAAAGACCATATGATCTTGAGCCAGACATTCAAGCAACAAGTAATATGTTGCCGACAGCTTCGGATAATGCTATTAGAAACAGTGCGTTAAAGAAACATACAAGAGATAAATAATAATAATACAATACAATATTCTTATCATATTAACCCATTAACATTTTATCATTTAAATTCTAATTTCACAAAAATTACAAATCGTCTTTTTTTCATATTAAATATAAATGTAAACAATATAAAATTTTCTTGTTTTAAAAATCTAGTCTAATATTATATTTTGTTTGCGCTCATCTGGTAAATAATATATAGCAACATTTAAAATAGAGATTAATGGATTAATAAGATAAAAAAAAATTTATCTGGATAATTAATAAATTTTTAATCTTGCAATCGATACATATACTTACCAATAGATCACTCTGTGGAATACTAAGGAGTAGTTTGACAAAGGTATTGAGGGCATTATCCAACGCCTCGTCGCCGTATAGCCTAAACACTCCAAAATTTACATAACTTCCGCATAAGGCTGCCTTTAGCATACTAAAGCATATACTTATTCCTTTGAGTTTTAAAGGATAAATCTGATCCTTGGGTACTTCGACGTTTAATATGTGATTACCATAGCTACATATTATTTTGCTGGCCTCGCGGAATAACAAGATCCCATTCGGAGACGACGCGTCGAATTGTAATCGTTGACTCCTATTTTGTACTAACTCAGCGAATAACTTTAGGACGGGCGTTGTCACTTGCGGCTCGTGATGCCACAGTTCCACAGCGTGTAACAAAATTGGCGTGTAATTCGGATATCTAATTATTTCAAAGAGAAAATAAAACATGAAATTTTTTTTCCTATACAGGGTGTTTCGGACCACCCAAAAACTAGAGAAGTGGTTATTTCAAAAAAGTAAAAACATTTTCTTTATAAATCGGTGCGCTCTATCGAATGGTGATATTTTCAACTGGTTCCGACCGGAAATAGGCGATTCAGACCGGAAGTGCATTTTTTTTAATGGAACCCTCTATTTTTCATCGCATATTCTTGTAGCTTACCTCGAGAGCTTTTCAAAACACTATAATAAATTATTTTCCCATGAAGTATTTTTCGAGTTATAAGGCTTGATCATTTCTTAATTTTACATAAATCATAAAATATCTTGTAAAATATTCATTTTTCGATTATCTTACCTTAATACTTTTATGTACAAAATAATGAGAGAAATCAATTGGTATAAAGAAAACACATAGTTGTTTCTAAGAAAAAATATGTAATTTGCAATTAACAATTCCATATTTTTTCTTAAAAACAACTGTATGTTTTCTTTACACCAATTGATTCCTCTCATTATTTTGTACATAAAAGTATTAAGGTAAGATAATCGAAAAATGAATATTTTACAAGATATTTTGTTGGTTCATATAAAATTAAGAAATAATTTCAAGCCTCATAACTCGAAAAGTACTTCATAAATAATTTATTATAGGATTTTGGAAAGTTCTCGAGGTAAGTTACAAGAATATGCAATGAAAAATAGGGGGTTCCATTTAAAAAAATGCACTTCCGGTCTGAATCGCCTATTTCCGGCCGGAATCAGATGTTGAAAATATCACCATTCGATAGAGCACACCCGATTTAAAAGAAAATGTTTTTATTTTTTTTAAATAACCACTTCTCTAGTTTTTAAATGGATGGTACAGGTGGTCTGAAACACCGTGTATATGTAAAGAATATTGTTGGTCTCCAATAATAGATCCAAAAGATACATCTAACTTACATCCAATCGAAAAGCATCATATAGGATGTCTTGGTGTTGAATGCATAAGCTAAGCCTCTAAGATCCCGCGCTAGACCAATCAACGCTTTCTTCGCTTCCTCTGCTGCAAAAAGGGGTGTATCTGCAGCACCCATTAATTGACCGAGGCTCTCCAGTGCACCTATGAAATCGCATTTAAAACATTTATCTCTTAACATTATACTTCTAATTATGATCATGCATTGATATTAAGATGACTCTTATTACCTGTAAGAGGTAACATGAAAGTATGGAACCTCTCCTCATCTTCACCTAAATCTACCATCAATAGTCTACCGAGGGATGTGTAAAACATTGATCTACAACGCATTTCTGTTACAGCAACATTGTTTCCCAAAAATGGAAAGTGTTCTCGCTGTCGGTAGAAAGGATTTCATATATTAATCTACATTATTATTCGTTATTATATGTTAATTGATGTAATCGATTTCAGTACGTACTGTATGATTGTTGAGCATAAATTGTACTTCTTCTAATTTGACAAGTTTACGAACACAGCTATAACCCACAGATAAATCATTTAAAAGTTGTAGTGTTTTAGAAATTATTTGTTCACTCCTACCCCAATATTTCAAATTTGTTATTCTGTAAATTATATAATAGGCATTAATATCCAGGGTCTAAAACATCTAATTTAATTTCTTTCTTTATCAATTTATTAATTATCTAATTTAATCTTGCAAATTTCATATGTCTTACTAACATCTTTCGAATGAAAATACTAAGCACCATGGCTTCATCATTAAGACCCAACACATCAGATAATCTCCTATAGACTTTAGAATTCTTTTGAACTTGATCGCCTACATAAATTTTCCGAAATTGTTCAAAGAAACTCAACATTGCCAGTTCTAGTTTCTCACAGCCACCCTGCGCAAGCCTCGAATCAGTCAGATTCATCAATTGAAGCACTCTACAGACTAATTCTCCATCCATAGCATCAAACTCTTCATTGCTGTTAAACGCAACTCTTCCTCCAATAACACCACCTATAAAAAAGAATGAGATAGATATATGAGAAAGAGATAGATATATAGACATTATTGTATATAAATGATGGAAATCAATAACAGGTATATATTCATTCATGTACCAATTATATATACAAGCCATGTGAGTTGTCCCTCCTGGATTGCAATATCAATTTGTTGCGTGGGCGATACTGTTTGTGCCATTAATTCCTGATAAGTTCTCGCTGCTTGATCGAACAATTGAACTAATAGGGTGCATGTCTTTTGATACTCGCATCTACCAATGACTGATATCTGTTCCAGCTGATGATGAACGACTCCGAGATCATCCAACGGATCCTCCAGACGCTCCCTGACCACTACCGCTACTGATTCAAGTCTCGACGTAATGTACGCATTCGTCACCTCCGGAGTGTATGTATTTAATAGATGTGGATCACCTGCCTTGACATATGGCATAGACGATACCATTCTTTGCCAGAGAGTTAAGAGATAGTGCAAACTGTTGGGCGCAAATTGCCACATTTGTAAACTCTGCACCGTAAATTTCGCGATTAGCGCTATTGCTTCGGGATAATCTTCCACCAGAACCAACTCGCCAAGTTGGAAATTGCTCTTCAGTCGAGATAATAATCTACAAAACTCGTGATAGTTCCCTGGATCGCTGAGACCCTGAGGATTCTGTAGTATATGCTTAATACCATTGACTAAATGTGTCAGGAATTTCGCTCTTTCGGTATTGGAGAACAGGCTCCTTCTAACAGACGCTATCTGAACCAAACATGAAAGTGCTAAGCACGATAACGTATTAGGTAAACTGTGATATAGATCAAAGAACAGTTTCAATGAAGTGAAATCCAAGAATGCAGGTCGCCAGCTTGTTGGAATTTGTACTGTATTAAGATCGTCGGAGCTCTCATCAGTCGATGTGCCGATAAAGTCGAATGTTAAACAGTTTTGTGCAAGTTTCAACAATTGTCTTATCAATCCATGCTGAAAAAAAACAAACGTATAATTGTTAAGAATGAATATAATGATAGTGGTTTGTAGAAAGCAATCAATAGAATACAATAAAAAGGCAAAAAACTACTGCGCAAAATTGGACGTATAAAATAATTCAAAAAAATACTCTATAGATAAGATAGAGATGATTATATAATTAAATACATATGAAAATCAAAAGGTAAAATTAGTAACAAAGGAGTCAAAAGAGACACTAGTGATTGTTATTGTAATGCAGACAAAAGGTCAAAAATAAAAACAAATATTTACAAAAGAGAATTCAAAAATAACGAAATATTGATATGATAGAAATTAATTAGAAGAGAATTGCAAATAATTATGAGTTTGAAAACGCTGACATTACATAATAAAAATTAACAAAAATATGTGCAAAGGAAAATTGATTTTAAACGGAAAGTCACAAAAATATAATTAAGTTAAGTATAATTGTTACATTAATTACTCGACATGAAGAATTTGAAATTAATCGATATTAATATTGACATAATCGTTATACCTGTGCTTCATCATTGAAGTTTAAACTCTTACAATTTTCACGGGCTGTACTTAATAAGGTACACGATAGCCTAAATATTTCAAATAGTTGCGTGTCTCTAAAACTACTTGCTATTCTTCTATGTTTTGTCAGAGATCTGTTCGCATCGGCTTCCGATATTTGATTCATCTCACATGTCAATTGAGAAAGTAGCTGTACTCCTATCATACAATGCTCCACTGATCCCTGTTTTCATAAACAAAATATTATTAATTTTAGAATAAACTTTATGTTTATGGAATATGTGTGACACAATAGCGTCAACTAAAAATAAGACCTGAAGAAACTTGGCTACATCGCTGACTACATTTCTGAAGACAAATTCCTCCTTATCAGAATCAAACCATCCAAGCTTTGATATCCTAGCAAAAAGTGTAACCAAAGCCTGTATCACAAAATTTGGTAACTTTGGTTGCGTCGCTAAGTAATTGAGTACATAATTTCCTACAAACATACAAAGTAAAATAAATAATCTTCCTTTAAATGTCTCGACAAGCATTTATTCAATTCTTTCACCTCTTGAGTAAGCAAAATAAAATGAATGCAACGCTTACGTATATCGAGTCTCTGTTGTAAGCTGAGGGTTGTTGTAAGCTGTCCCTGCGCCGAACGTGACACCAGTTTTGTCAGAGTGGTGGCGGCCAGTAATTGAGCGTACGCAGAATCCCCACGGTCCAAGAGGAGCTGGCACTTTGTAAGCGTATCCGGTGCATTTTGGAAAGCGACGAGGGCTTTCTCTGCCTCTGCACGATGCGCCGAATCTTGCGACTCATACAATTGCTTGCACAGCAATTCCAGCTGCCGTACTTCCTGTATGTGATCCATTCTTAATGATAGCGTTCAAAGTTGTTCCTTAATACTTCCATTTAAGGTACAAGTCTAAGAGTTTCATAACAACGTTCTCACTTTTACGGCGTTTTGCGTATCATTATTCATGGCTTGGCATTACTGTCCAAGGTGTTTACAAGTTTACAGTATAGTCCCATTACGCCTGATGAACCACAGTTTGTTAAGCATTAAAGTTGCGTGGAAATAAGAAAGAAACTTGAATATTTACTTTCTTATACAGAAGATGACGTAAAATCACTCGAGATAAGAATGCATCTCCAACATGTCTCACGAGACAAAACAGAGATTGAAATGTGCAATTGAACGAAAAAAACAAATGACAACAATTTTGCAAATAGCTCTGCAGCTGAACAACAAGTTTTACTCAATTGGAATTCAATTATGACACATTAACATGTTTTATTAGAGCACAGTTTACGGACGTTTGCACGAAAAATATACGCCAAAGTAAACAAAGATTGCATTGTACGATAGAGCAGTTATTTTCACATGGAAAATACCATCTATAATAAAATAGCCAGTGCACAAACAAAGTAGCTGCAACGAAACAGGCCATTTAAAATCAACAATTTCTTTAACAAACAAATTATGTTATACATTATATGCTTCACACATACAACACACCCACACATACACATGCATATCACATACACAGGCAGAAGGAAATATCTTATACTCGCGACGAAGATTCTCTGTTTATTTTACTTTTACCGAACCATCGCACGACAATATTATTTCCAGGACGCTTCGCGTCAAAGTTTCGCGCACGAAATTTTCGGTCGGAGGTTATACGAGACCGATAGATTGTAAATAATCCGCGATGCAGTCCCCCCCCTCTCACCCCTGCCCCGGTAACTCGAGGGGGCCTTCGGGTTCCGTTCGTCAGAAACGGAGCCCGTTTTCGCGCTCGCTCGTCTCTCCGAGGGAATCTCGATCTCTCCCGGCGAGAGAGACTCCGCGATGCGAGAGAAACACGCGTCGAGATGACGTATCCGCGGATGAGCTTAACGGAGACACATACACGGATACACACGGACGGCGAGCGAGAGAGAGAGAGAGTTACCGTACTTTCCGAGACATCGGGTGCACAGGGCAGGGAATGAAAATTTCACGTGACACGCTTATCACAGGGAGATCCCGCGGTTTACATACAAACCCACGAAGTACAACCACGAAGCACGAATCGCGATCAGATGATCGATGTAACCGGTGTGCGCGCGCGTGTGTGTGAGCGTATACGGGTGTGTGTATATATATATATATATATATATATATATATATATATATATATGCGTGCGTGCCCCGTGTAATTATTCCCTCGTCCTTCCCCCCCGACAACCCGCTCCGGAATCGGGCAGGACGGTGGCGCGTGGTGCGCCCGGAAATCTCGCGCTTCGCGTGACAGAAGACGACGGAGTCGTCGTCTGTCAGAAACGCGGACGGACGAGGAACGCGACGCCACCGACGTATCTCGCTCTCCCGCGGGGATCCCGCGCGGCTGATTCCGCTGTCAACGCTCGCGCGAGGGAAATGCGCGGCTCCCACCCACCCCCTCCCCCCTCCTCTCCACCCCGCCGGCTCGCGGCTCCCGGGGAGAAAGTGCGGCGGATTTTACAAACGTGTGCGCGCGGCGACCACCACACACACACACACACGCATATATACATATATATATATATATATATCGACGACACGCGGGGATTCCGCCGGGAGATCGTCGGCCGCGTCGCGGAAAAAGCGCCGTCGATGCGGCCGATAGCGTCTCGCGTTTTGCGCTTCCTCCCTCTCCTCCTCCTCCTCCTCGTCTCCGTCGGCGACTCACCTGTTCCTCCGCCATTTTCCCAGCCCTCGTATTTATCTTCCCCCGGTGAAGCCAGGATCACATGCCAGTCTCGTCTGCGGCCGCCGCTGCCGGCGCATGTTGTTTACGTCGAGATGCGATGCAGCCCGTGCGTTTCACGCGCAACCGCGCGCCGATCGCGCGCGAAGCGCGCGATCGGCGCCATCTTTGTCTCGTTGAGTGTACTACTCGTACCCTACCCAGTGGACGCGCGCTCAATCGATTGGCTGTCGGATGGGAGAAGTTTCCGGGGTCATCGAGGATTCCTGGAGATATCGGCCAATCGGGACGCGGCCTCGCGTCTCTCCAAGCGTCAGCGCGAAGTGTCACGCGATTGGCTGTCGAGTGCGGAGTTTCTCGGGAGTTTGAAAATTCCCTATTCGATAGCCAATCGCGTGACATTGCATCACATGTTGCACCGGAGAGAAGACTAAGGCCGGTGTTTATAGTCCGGTCATACATTTAAGATCATCTTCTAAGCACTCATTCCACCAATCAATAACTGCATTATAGCTATTTGATTGGTTGAATGAGTTTTTAAGATGATCTTAAATGTAAGACCCATCGACATATACACTGGACTGAGCACCGCGATAGCAGGCGAGCGCCCACTATAGAGAGAGAGATACTATATGGGAGGCCTATGTCCGTCTCTTTTGCTAGTATCTCATTGGTAACTTTGGTTCTCGCCCATCGAGGCGGGAAACAAAATTACCAATGAGATACTAGCAAAAGAGACAGAATAGGCCTCCCATGTAGTACTTCTCTCTCTACAGCGGGCGCTCTCCTGTCTATCGCGATGCTCAGTCCAGTGTATATGTCGATGGTAAGATCGGTCTATGAATACCGGCCTGAGAGATGTCATGACCAGCAGGGCTATTCTGTAACTTTTAACGTATGCGTTACGATGGCTATCTTTTTCTTTCTAAATAAGTAAAAAAAAAAACAAGCATATCATAACTAGAGAGAAGACTGAGAGATGTCATGGCCCGCTTTTAGGTGATCTCTGAAAGCGATACGCCCTCTGTTAATCTAAAAAACGTGGACATGAACTACAAAGCCAAAGTCCACGAAAGTTCTCAGAGGGTAACATATATGTGCACAATTTCTGATTCTGTTCCATGCTATGTAAAAAATGCCTGTAGTACACGAAATGCCATCAGTGCTGTATAGTAAAACGCATATGTATATAAATATAAATAAATTTTATGGTCCTCTCTCTCTCCCTCTCGCTCTCTCTCTACACATACACAAATAAACACACATATAATATATATATATATAATATGACGCTACAACTTTATTCTGAAATATCTGCGTTATGTTTAGAAATATATATAAATATATATATATACATATATATATATATATATATATTTTTTTTTTTTAATTTAAAACATTACATGAAATACACGCGCTGGAATTATATATATATATTCTATGTGTACATAAATACAGATATATTATCTCTTTTCGAAAGATATGTTAACATTGAAAAATTTTAATATAATATATATTTAATTAATTGATTCATATCTATTTATGTCGTATCACAAAGTAAGAAGTTAAAATTTGACTTCAATCCCGAAAAATACTGTGATCTTCCAATGTAATGCTCAAAGATAAAATAAATATTTTTCTATACATTCAATGTCATATTTATATATTTTTATTTACAAAAAAAACAAAATGTCTGTTGTGGAATAAAAACCTTTTTAACCGTATTTCTATAAATCTTTTTAATTAGCAGTAAAATGATCTTTGATATTTATCAATCAATCTTTTTAATTATTTAAACCTACATTTTCTGATTCCTTAAAAGATACATAATATAAAATCAGCTAAATTAATCACATAATAGCCCTAACAATCCTCTACTTTTTGAATGGAAAATTAAAAAATCTAAATGATCACCTAATAGCCCTAACAATCCTATTTCTCGATTAAGTGAAATTATTCCAGGAAAGCCTATCTCTAATCACGTATATTTTAATTACATGCCCTAATTACATTCTCTAACCGCATGCCTTAACCGCGTGAATAAATGTCCGACATTACGTACTATTGTACGTAAAGCTTTTCTTCAGGCCAATTGAACTTACTTTTCGTTGATTCTGGCCACTTTCTCGCTCGATCTCTAATCAGAGATCGAAAAAGGAGATAAACACTCCTTCTTTTGCCGATTAATTACCGGCAAATGAGCATAAATATTTCACGCTCATCGTAACGATTTTACGATCGCTCGATTTTACGATCGTTTCTTAAATATTTGAATATAACTTTATTTTAACTAAAATAAAGCCAAATTACTACAAATTTCTATATACTATATTTTCTAATAAAATATAAAATTCATGTATGTGTATAACTTTTATGATATTACAAATTATTTAATTAATTAATCGTTTGGCTTTATTTTAAGTTAAAGTAAAATTTAAAAACAATATCTACAAACAAATTCTACAATGGATGAGCTATGATATAAGAAATTAGAATAAAATAAGTGCGCGTTATAAGAATAAAGTAGTATCAAAAATTGATAAAATTGTTAAAATTATTAATGCGTGCTCTTGATTTAATAAACTAGTCAAGTCTTTACAAAAAAAAATTTCTTTTCTTGATTCTCTTTTTTAAATTAATACTTCAATATATTTTCGCAATAGATGCAAAGCATTTCGAAAGAATTTATTAAAAGTTATTTAATTTAATCTATCCTAGCTCATCCATTTTAAGGCAACGGACTTACTCTACAATTCACAATCTACAATCTACAATCTACAATCTACAATCTACAATCTACAATCTACAATCTACATCTACAATCTCTACAAATCCGTTACCTTAAAGTTAAATAAAAGTTTTTCTCACTCACCGGCACTGATGCGCAACAGCGGAGTTATTGTTATCGAAGCTAGTTGTCTGTAACATACAAATATAAAATTCATTTATATTAATGCTCACAAAATGCAATCAATATTTCAAAAAATTTTTATCGCGCGGAATTTTATATCCGATGTGTAAAATAATAAGTAGAGATAAACACGTGTGGAAAAATTTTATAAAATTTTAAAACTGTTTTTTAAGAAAGTTTTTTAAAAAGTTTTGTATAACTTTTATAAAAATCTTTCTCTCTAATTTTTTCTTTAATTCATTTAAATAATAAGGTCGAATTATTATGCGTACGATTTATAACAATTGATATATAAATAATAAATATTCACCATCAGGTTGCTCCGCCGATGCAAGATGCCTCTCCCAGGCCTCCTCCTCCTCTCATGTTGTTGACGCGCGATACTTTCAACGGCACTACCGCACTCACGAGCGATATTTTTATATCGCTATTTTCGTTATTTTACGCGCGATACTAAACGGCACTCCCGCACTACTTCGGTACGATTAAAAATTTGGTCGCGCGATGTATATATTTAATATATATATACTTTGTACGGCACTCCCGGTTTCGGTACGAGCGAAAATCCCATTTCATTTCGCGAGAATCAAATTCGAGCCAACAGGTCGGGAATGCAACGATACAACGAGCAAAGATTAGGCCCGAACCGGAAAGAAGACGAAACGATTGACGGAATAGAGGAAAATAAAGTTCACCAGCTCTTTTTCGCGCATAATTATCCTATCTCGTATCGAACCTGGACCCGCTAAGCACGATTTCAAGTGACCCGCACGGATGCTATATCACTAGCGCAGTACACAAGGCTGATAGACGGTAAAAGAAGAGGATACCCACATTTTTTAAAAGCTAACATTCAGCAATTTAGAAAATGGGGAGGCAACCCCTTTTACCGAGCGAAAATCGTGCCTAGGGGAATCCACTCGACTCCTCGACAGGGTTAACACACGCTAGGCGTGTGGCTGTAGAGTAGACGAGCAAAGAGAAGGGACCCATTGACGACCATTTCGAACAATCGATCGAGTTCTAATCGATTCGGGCCAAATCAATTGACGAAGCAGAGCGTGTTCATCACTAAGCCGATCGAGCGCGAAGCTCGAACCCGCGCGCCCATGTACATTTTGTACTGGACATACGTTCTGCGCGGCCGGCATCACCAAGTGCCACGTTGCACAAGGCGCGAGTACGTCGCAAAGCAACGACTCGATGAAACATCCCACTTAGTTGGCGTCGGAAGGAGAGACTCGTTGACAAAAACGAAATTGGGATTTTGAAAACGCGAAAACGCGATAACGCGAGAATGCTATAACGCGAAAACGCGGTTACGAAGCGCAGCCGTCCGCGGCACGTTGACGGCACCGACGACGCGAAAGGGTACTTAGCTTCCCTTTCAAGCACCTTAAGATTTATCATAAATAGAAAAATTTAAGATAAATCTCAAGACACCATCCAAGTACTAAGCCCTCCCACCGCGACAAGGTGTACC